TAATACTGATATTGTTATTTATTGTGATATTCTCTCCACAGGGTTTGTAAATTTGTTTGAATGTTTTGATAATGATGTACATAGAAACCTTCTACACCACAATTATTTTCGTTTTTTGTGCAGAAGGAACGGTTTTTGCACTTTACGTTTTCAAATTTTTGTTACGAACAATCATTTCCTCCTATTTTAAATGTGACTCTTCTAATGTATTTCTCATATGCCATTTGAAAAACGAAAAGAGAACATCCTTCTAGAAACACTGCATCCAGAGAAATATAATATGTATTTTACAAAATGTGCATGTCTGGATGAAAGCTGGCTTACAATGCCTTTCGCAAAATCGTCTTTTCTTCATTTGCCTACTGCACGTCGAAAGCTTTTTTGAAACTGTAACGCTGTTTGGACAAGATGTTTGAACTTTTTGCTGCTTCCAGTGAAGAGCGCGACAGGCTGAAAACTGTTCACGGGAATTTTTGGAATACGTTTTTTGCGCAAACTACATCCTCAGCCTTCTGTTGTTGTCGAAACGAAGCTTGTTGCGAAATTCATAGGCTTGCGCTCAAACTGAGCGGTTTATTTGCGAGTATGAGCAACACACACTCCAAACTTGAATAATTAAAACGTGAAAAGGTCAAGTAACAGTGACAAGGGCGAAACGACTTATGCAAGTAACATAAAACAAGCTTGAGAACAACGAAAAGGAAAGGGAAGCATTGAAAGAAGAAGATGATCGCCTCATTGAATCAAGAAGAGTACTATGCTTGTAACAAAGTTGATTCATTTTCTGCCACAAATCGCATGAGCCTCAGGAAAAAACGATCTGTGAAATAACCTAAAGTCAGCGCCAAAAAAGGCAAAGCTGTAGGTAAAAAGATCTTGGCGCGATTATTTTGTTGTGTCAATAGACCGAATATTGTATCTTGCTGTAGGTGTCAGATCGATTATGGTATATGAAAATCATATGCTGAGGACCTCCAAAGATGCCACCGTGACTTAGCTGTGAGGGAGGTTCCTCTGTCTCAATATTTGAGTTGCTCTTTTGTCTGTAGCGCTTATCGTTGCCTTTAGCTCTTCATTACTCCTATTACAAGGCCATTATCAATTCTACAGCGACCTTTGGGCAACATCTTCCGCCTTTCTCTTTCTTGCATTGTTTTCTAATTTATTCTGTTCTTTTGCTGTTTATCTATTGAGTAGTGCATTATATTTGCATTACATTTATATTGTGTCTACCTAGTATCCGATAAAGATTGATAAAAGAGGACATAAAAGTGGCGACTGGATTTTTAAGATAAAGACTTTTTCTTTGTTTATTGTAGCGTCTTCTGAAATTATTGCTCACCCAGCTAAGTTGTTTGAGCCGGCCTCCGACGACATTAATTTTTATCTGTCAGAGAACAAAGTTTTTTTCAACGTTTCGAACGTTCAGGAAGCAAATTAACCTTTGTTTCTTTTAAATTTGCTTTCTTCTAGTGTATATCGTCCTTTGGCCACTTCTGTGCAATCAAACGAAGTTATAAAAACTATCTTTGGAAACTCTGATCACACAACTGAATGCGATTTATGAGACAAAAAAGTCGTTGTTTGCTGAACTTCATCACCTTTCATTATAGTCAAATGAAAAGGTAGTCAATCTTTTAATGAATTCGCAAACTCCGTAAGAGAAAAAGCTGCATTTTGCGCATTGGGTGCCTTTAATAAGCCCGCTTTGGCTCTAGTAATCACAATGAGATCACTGTGTCGATGTTCCTCATCGAACAGAGGAACATTGAAGACAGAATACAGTAAATCATGTAGTACAGTTTTGTTAACAAATTCTAGCAAACAAAATCTGTTGAAGAAAATAAGTAAAAACATAAAATTCCTTGTTTGCACCCCCAAACTCAAAGCACTACCGATACCAAAGGTCAAAGGAACAGCAAACTCTTTGTCTCACATATTTTTGGTAAAACAAAGAGTTTGCTTCTTTTTGGGAGGCCAAAATTTAATGGTCACTCAAAGAAAGACAATAGTCTATGGTTATAAAAATTTCGGAAGAAAACTTGGTTATCATTTAAAATTGTTCCGTCTTGATCGGTTGAACTTACGAATTATCCTTGGAAGGACTATTGTCTTCGCCAGTTGCTTTTGTGGAAGAAAACTCAGAATTGAGTCTATTCATAGTTCTCAATTTTGTATTCCAATCTAGTACCTTTGAGAATTATTTTCTATTTCTAACTGCGGTGCTATTCGAAATCATTCAGGTTAGTGCTTCTTTTATAGGGTCCCTTTTTTTATTAGTTATTGTATCATTGTTAAGTTTACTGTCCCCCTCTTGAGCTGTCTATCCTCTTTCATTCGCCTTATATAAATAAGTTTTTTGTACATACTGGCCGTAAATTTTATACTGTAGAACAAAATAAAGTCGTTCATTTTTAGAGTCACTCCTCTAACAAATATAAGTTACCTGCCATAATAACCACATAGATTGAGATTGAGGGCTCAAAATAAGAGAGCTCCAGCTAAAGAGATCATGGTTTTCGTCAAAAAGAGATACTGTAATAAGAGGTTTAGTTAAGCCTGAAGTTAACTTAGATTGAATTACTGTAGGAAGTAGAAGTTCTTCTACACACTGAAGGTTCGTGCAAAGTTACTAGGAGTAAAAAATTGTATGCTTGATCAGGCCCTGTCCATTGCGCAGAAACAGACCTAAATCACTGCAGAAGCTAAGCAAATCGATATGAATGCAGGATGAGCTCCGACCAGTCCTGTTTCAATTGGCTGATCTCTGCCACCACAACCTGTAAATTTTGCCAGTTGCCTTGGTTTACATCCGTTTCCGAGCTCTGGCGGGAGAATAAAGGCCGAAACTTCAGATACCAAAACTGCAAAAAATTGTAACAGCCACCTCCCACTCTCCCCTTGTGTGGCTGTTAACCAGCACCGTTATGCAACTTTGCGGCCGCCTACGTAGTTTTTTCGTGACCTGTCCGGTTTTGCACATTCTCTAAATGCAGTATCTCTAAACTCTATCAAGCTCTTCTATCTCCATTACTTCTAGAAATCGCTGGTGACCAGCCGTCAAATCGATACTG